TCCCAAGCTTTACATCAAACGTTACAAACAACAGAATGAACTTTGAAAAACGTTTTTATATATTTCTTTATTTATTTATTTGGTTTTTACACACATTACATAAAAAATAGAAAATTTTAATTTAATTTATTAATTAATTTTATGTCCTCTTTGGTTACTGCTTTTTGTTTCTTTTGCATTTAAGAATTTTCTCACTTTGAAAACCTGTTTTCAAAAACACCAATTGCAATCCGTTTCCATCTTCTTCGAGTTTGTCCATCCATGCCTCCTTTTTTATTTGCTGTGTTATTTATACCTTCGTGTAATGTTTTGAGCGGTTATTTTTATGTCTCACTCATTTTGGTGGGGATTTCCACTGTTTGAATTTTGATAAATTTCGTGAGACAGCTCCTTAAACTTCAATATTTCCAAGAGATTTTCAAATCAATTTCGTTCGCCAAGGAGCATGCGCTTTGTGGCCGATATGAGCATTCAGATGATCCTTGGCGAATCAACATCATTGGTAGCAGCGGTCGGTTTCATTCAGCTTTACAACTTCATGTACAACCGCAGTGATGATATTTTTTTTTTTTTTGGACTGCAATGACACTGTTAATTTACATCTCACTTTTTTTCCTGTTGTTAAGGCCAAAAACACTTCAGGACTTATAATAGATGATATCAGTTGTAGGGGGCCTTTCTCAAAGTTTTAAAGGAGCTGTATCATAAAAAAGAAAGAATAGGAGATATTAGACGCACGGTCATTAAAACTAGGATGTTTTAAGAAATGACAACATGAACAACAACAGCAGCGCAGCAACCTTATTTAACTTAAGTAATTACTGGTCTGAACAGCATGTAGCAACTGCTAATCTAGGGGGGACAGAGGAACAAGTGAGGGTTAACTGTTAATGAATATTATTACATAAACACAGAGTTAAGGAAACGATAACTTTAGAACTTTGAGAGAAAAATCAGTTGAAACTTGAAAGACGTACTTAATAGTTAAGCCAGTCCAACTTTTTGTATAATGATAGGTGTTTCTATGTAGTCATTTTCCTGTACTAAAATATGTAGCAGAAGTCGGCGAATTTCTCTTTTAAATACTTTCTCGGGTAGATTTCGCAAGGCACTCAGTATCTCATTCCACAGTATTACGCCAGATCTGGAAAAAAGAACGCTTATGTATCTCTAACCCAAAGCTTTGTACGTAAAAATTCCTGGAGGTGGATGATCGCGTGTTGTATGTATGAATACTAGAGTTTTTTTAAAAATATTTGCATAATATTTAAAGGAGCGTTAGTGACTGCGAAGTATTGTAAACACCAGCATACGTAAGTAAGAAAATGTTGGCAGGATTTATCGTTCACTTTTTCTACTTAAATAAAGTGGTAAATGACTATTACTGTTTATTCAGAAGGGAAAGTCGTATGAAAACTACACAGGAGAAATGTCCTGCTTTTAGATTAATCTCGGGAAATTTAGGGCGATAGGAATCAAAACATATTATTGGTATAGCCTTATTCACAGTCTTTAAATTTAGAACCACCTTGTATGTACAGCTATTGGTAGAACTGTGGTGCGTATGCTTAGCGGTATTACGCGCCAAGAGTGTGTGTGAAACATGGCATAGCCTGCGTGCAAGATCTCCAGGGAGCGCCGCCAGAACGCACTGAGAGCTTGCTAGCGGGCTAAACATGGCAGAAATTGTTGTGTTCACTGTTCCCTCTACGTGTTAACACGGGCTGGTTTACACAGCACGGTAGACGCTACAAAAAAAGGTTGCTTCTAAGCACTTGATTGCAACGGTGTCAGTTCGAGGGTTAAAGTTTTCGGTATTTTTACAGGTCTACAAAATTGAATTGCTTCTGAGGTTTCCTTTTCTTTTCCGATCTTGTCAACAGCTACGACCCGACAGTGCGACCAAAAAATCTTGCTCACTCTGATTCATTTGAAAGGCCACACTTAGATTTTTATACTCGAAATTGATATAGAGGTGCATCGCACAAGTTTGAATCTCTGTCAGAGAGTGTTAATTTAGTGACTTGAACCACCACCTACCCCTCCCCTAAGTCAACATTAACACTTACTTCTCACCTCGGGCAAAATTGTGACTTTGGGGAGGGTCAGGTGGTCATGAGGCGTAGGATGTTGTTCCAGAAAAAGCTAGGGAGTTTTCAGAAATTCCGGCGCTTGCGAATGTTAACAAACGCCAGCAGCATATGAAACTAGCAAAACGATGTGTCGTTCACTTTTTCTACCTGATATCAAAGGATAAATAATAGTTTTGTTTTTCTAAGACAAAACTCGTAAAAAAAATTGTTTCATAGAAAAGGGGATGTCTCTCCTTTAGAATAAACACAGGAAATGTTGATACAGTGGAAGCTCTCGTGAGCGGACACCCTCGGGACGCGTGGCAATTTCCAAGATAACAGCAAATTTACCGTGATGGCACATTTTCTTCCTTGATATCATTTTACTCCCGTGATGTGACATTTTCTACCCTGATATAATTTGACTTCCGTGATGGAACATTTTCTACCTTGATATCATTTTACTCCCGTGATGTGACATTTTCTACCCTGATATAATTTGACTTCCGTGGTGGAACATTTTCTTCCTTGATATCATTTTACTCCCGTGATGTGACATTTTCTACCCTGATATAATTTGACTTCCGTGNAGAGCGTAATTTTCCGTTGATCCTTAGTTCGTTTTTCATTTCCTTGAGAAAAGATCGATATTAACAAGAATTCTTCTATCAAAAAAACGTAATTTAGAAACGCGCGTGCTTTACGGGCTCATTCCGGTTACTTTTCTGTTTGTGGCGAGTTCTAGGATAACAGCATTTTATAAGAGCGTAGTCTTTAGTTCGTTTTCTCCTGTATGGCTTGATTCAAATACAGCTAGTGTCTCAAAATTGAATTGGGTTCAATGTACTACTGTTTTCATCTAGGAGAATCTTACGTGCTTTACAAGTTCATTCCGCTTCCTTGCCTAGCATGATTGTGAAGCGTATCTTTTTAATGGTCTTTAGTTCGTTCATTCTCTTGCTTGACAAAAGACCGCCTAAAAATTAAGAATTGATCGATCAAAGTAGTTCAGTTCAGTTCAGTTTTATTTAGCCAAAGTAAATTACAATGCAAGAATACATATAAGAATTGTAAGTTGGCAAGGGAGCCCAGAAGAAACCAGAAGGCTTATGAAGGCTGGGCTCCCCAAAACAACTGAGTCTAGAAGCTGTTGTAAAGCAGATCTGACTCTTCTTGCTTTTATTAGGCCGAGCAGATCGTGCCTCGATTCGTACTAGTTAACAGACAGCTTGTTTAGTTTTTGTTAAGTTTTTTATTATTAAATAATGGGAGTTGCCTTATCCTTGCTCGAAGGCATCGTTCTTTACATGGTGGGGACATTTACCGCTGGTGTTATTCAGGCACGTCAAGGACAAGAACTACAACACAATGCATTGTTATTACAAGACCAACGTCCCTTGGAGGACTTTATAAAGTTTAATCAAAATGACGAGATTTTTCAAGAATATGACCCACCTGCTAGGGACAACAGCAAAATGGGATGGAAAAGATCTCGCCCGCCAACATGGCGATTGTCGCTTTGGAAGACCAAGTACGCATTTTGCATGTAGATTCTCGGCGGCGTTGTGTTGAGGTCACTCGCTATTTCAAGCTTTATTTCAATACTGATTTTAAATTTGAGAGAACTTAAGACTTCTGCTTTAATGTGCAGAAAACTAACTGGACGGTGATTTTCCAGAGATATCAGAGAATGAAACTGACGGTTTCTATAATAGAAACCTTCGTGATTCAACTGTGGTCGCTTCTTCTGATGTTGACAATCTAATCCCACTGAATCTTCTGGGCGCGTCATTCGACGCTTGTTACAGGCTCTATTGTCAGATGTACGGCGTTTACAGAAAATCTTGGATGTCTTACCCACCCAACTGCCTCTTTGTTCTTTTGCTGGCGATGAACAGTCTACTCATTGGCAGAGAAATAGCAAAGAACAGCGAAAGAAACAAAAGAATCAAGAAAACACTCAAGATAATGGCCATGCTGGTAGCTCAGTTGGC